TGGGCTGTTAAAAATGTGTAGGGTGTTAGAAATTACTTAACTTTGCTAAAAATGGTACTTGATATAGAAACGCAATGTGAACTGCTTACCCCAGATAAAATATTTCTGAGCCTCTGGATAATTTTTGTGGCAGACGCCATTGTTGTCAAGGACAGAGTACTTGCTTCTCCGTTAAACAGGGAGAACTGACGCATTCATGTGGCATTACTGACACCTACTGTTTTGGAGTATTATATGTGGAACATGGCACCGAAGTGGCCAATATCACCCAGATTGAAGTCCAGTGGACTCGGCAGAACCCAGCACGAGCTAGTAAGATCTTATATGGGGATTTATTATTTGCACATGCTTAGTCTGTATAGGGCTTGTGTGTAGTACAGTGCAGGATATATCGCTTAATCCAAACATGTTTTAACTGTTGCCATTTCAAAATATTGTCTGGAGGAAGTCTACAAAACACATTCCACCATATTCTTAACATATCCTTTTATTTTGTGAACATCAGACTGTGTTGGGGAAATTGACAGAACATAGTCCCAGATCAGTCTTCTTCAACTGTAATAACAGCATATAAACCTGATTCTGAACTGTATGACCACTGAGTGGAAATACAAACATGTATAAGTGGCACTTTTCCAATAATTTATCTATAATTTGATACATTTAATTTTGGTTGATTTTCTTGAATCATTAGAATTCATATTGGACAATTATGATATTACCTGTGTTGATTATACACCTTTGGTCATCTTTATCAATGGTGCCCAACTGTAATGCTCCGAATGTGAGACCAGCATGATAACATTTATTGCTCAGACACCCACAACAGACTCCACGTGCTTAAAACATATGCATCCTAACAGAACTACAAAAATGAATGTACATTTAAACAACTACAATTACCCAATGTTAAATTTACAATGAATTCACATAAACAATTATTTGACATTAGAAAATAAGTCCAAGAAGGAATCCTTTATAACCAGGTGCTTGTTACTTAAGTTATATGGTCACTTGGTACATCTGACTGAACCATTGTCAGTGTATAGTACCCAGAGCTGGAGGGACATCACTTGACAGAATGGAAGACTTTGTGTGCCACCTAGAGGACAGAAATGAAATGTCCAATGTTATTGCACCTTCATTTTGTAAAAACATACAAACACAACTAATTCCACTGTGATCTGCCAAAAGCAGCTAATTATCCCATCCAAAATATGAGTGTTTTTCTCCTACTGCTTAAATCTCCAATGAATTGGTTACCCGAGAGCTTCATGCATGAGTTTAATGTAAACCAGTATAACTCCTTATTCCAGTGCTACTTTTGGAGAAATGCAACAATTATTCTGGAAGCATGTGATGTGCTGTACTATATATGCCTTTATTTAACAATTATATTGTATTGTTTTAACTTACTCCCTGCTTAAATAAATAGTTATATCGTTTTACAAACGTAATATTTCTAGAGATTCCTCTCGTTCATATTTATTTGGTGAAGAAACTGGACAGCAAACATCCTGTATGGCCTCAACCATTTGCTTGTTCTGTTTTTTCATAACAGTACAGTTAAAAGCGAAGACCATGGGGAGTGAACATCTCTCTACTCTGAGCCACTGACATCACTACACCCCTTGTTCCCTGTTGGCGATAGTCTGTGTAGATCTCACATACACAGTGGTCCCGGGCATGGAGAAAGTCAAAAAGCTCCTCAGTGCAATCCTCTGCTGTTTCGGACTTGGAGCCTACTCTGGCTTCGCAGTCCTCCAGTATTGCCCGGGTGTGGACACAGTGCTCTGCCTGTACACACTTCTCCCGCACTACATCAAGGGGGTCCTGGAACAGAACAAGCACGGCACCTGAGAATAAATATATATTCTCTATCCATTTTATCCTGGTTCCAAATCGGTTTGCCCTATAGCCTGAATGTTTTCTTAGGTCTGAGTCAAGAGACCTTTTGCTTTTGAGTCAATATTTTATTCAGACACTTTTTAAAGTACATTCCTGGAGTAAAGATAAAACATATAACATAGCGTCAGGGCTATTTAAGGTGAAGTTAAACAAACCACCATATCCTCTTCTTCCTCCTCTGCCTCTTCCTGAAAGAAAAAAACAACATTAAACCACTAGACACACAGTGACAACTAAGTAGCTGTGTAGCTATATGAATTAGCAATAGTTAACAGATTTTAGATAACGATGTAGATAATTGTAAATCTAAGGACTATCTAGCTAGCAATATCGGCTCATTACGCATGTAAATGACTTAACCAGATAGTAATCTGAAATTAGTGAATCCAAGTATTACATCTTCGGGTTCCCCGTTCAGGATCATTTTCTCCTCAAACACCATGGTTCTGGTAATTTGGTCCTAGTATTTCGAACTGTCAGAAGAGCAATCTGATGTTGGACCTGATGTTGGAGCGTGTTGGAGGACGGACCAGGTCACTCACCGGATGTTATCGTTTACAGTTAATTCTTCTTCGTTAAAGAAATGACACCCAATTCAGGCAACGTGCGCTACTGCAACCTTGTGTACGGGAGTGAATAACACACTGTAAGGTCCCGAACGGAACAATAAGTCGAGTCGGACACAACGTCAACAACCCCGATTTATTCATTTACAAGGCTGTTGTTCTGGCCCCAGCCTACGCCACTAAACTATACAGTTATCATACAGAACAGAGAGATCAATTGCAGTAAGACATGCCAAGAATAAAAAGAATGCGAACCACTCCTGTCACCTCCACTCATCCCCTTCAAATCCCGCGAGTTTACACAGAACCTGGAACTTTAACACATAAACAACCTTCCCACCCAACCCCCTATCCCAGGCTTAAAAAGGTTTAAATGGATAAAGATGTGATATGTTCATTGTCCGTACCAATATAAACTATAATTTGGAGGTTTGAATAAATGGTTTGAAGACATTTCAGAGTCTATGTGTATACATTTTGCACTTCATTTTGAACACATATTTTTGGTGAAGGTTGCAAAGAAATCTTAATGCCTAAAAGAGCCATTCATACCTGATCATTTTAATTATTTTATCATGTCAGAAATACCTACAATGAAAGAAAGCATGTGTTAACATTATACAATTATTTATTGGGGGCAACCCTGTCTGTGAACAGCTAAGTCCTCCAGAGCGTATTAAGCTATTCATTCTTTAGAAGTATACGCAGCTTTTTAAAAAAGCAATCAGTGAAAAACAAAATTGGTCTGTCTAACATGTTTAGTTATTTTATTTTTATGTATTTATTTTACCGCGAAAAAGTTTGCTTCGAACCGCTCATCTCTACTACCGCTGTAATCGAAAAGAGCGTCACTAAACAAATTCAAACAATAACACAAACCATATACAAATATTATGAAATATCGGTCAAACATCGGTTTACCTCCGAAAGAATAAATTTTTGCTATAGTTAATTGGACTTTTGGTCGCATTTTATTCAACAGGGTGAGTGAGTCGCTTAATGAACACTATTTCATGATTATTTGTTTTAGGCATACTTGTGTAAATGTGTTTTTCTTTTTTTGCTCTCCAATATTCTGTTTGTCCTATGGGTTGACATATTTATGTCCACACGTTCAGCATAGTTATATACGTATTTATATACGGAATCTAGGGCAAACTATTCCTTTAAGGGAGTTGGTAAATGAACCCCTCCGTCCTGGCCATCCGTCTGCCAATTCCACAGGGGTCCCAAAGCTGAAAGAGCAAAAATAAGAATAGCCATCCCTGTCCCAATAAATGGTCTGGCCTAACGCAATGCTTGCGAGCTTAAACCACAATTTCCATTTGGTTCGAACCCTGAAGCGTTATTTATATAGCACAGCGTGTCCCTCCACATTCTGCTTTTGGACACCTTCTGTATGTCAGCAACTCAAAAGCAACTAAAAAATAATAGTCCATGTAATGAAGAGAGTATACTGCGTACTGTGGGCACGCAAAATGTATTGGACGCAGTTGGACATTTATTTCTGCGTGGTATAAATACGCCCTATCTATCAGCAATAGTTTTGGATTCACACTGTAGTTAGCAGCACAAGTTTCAAGTTTAAATCTAAATAAAAGGGGTGTCGGTCGACTCCTCTTCCAAGCTGTCAGTAACTCCTCCTCCAAGCTGTCAGTAACTCCTCCTCCAAGCTGTCGGTAACTCCTCCTCTAAGCTGTCAGTAACCCCTCCTCCAAGCTGTCAGTAACTCCTCCTCCAAGCTGTCGTTAACCCCTCCTATAAGCTGTCAGTAACCCCTCCTCCAAGCTGTCGTAACGCCTCCTCCAAGCTGTCAGTAACTCCTCCTCCAAGCTGTCAGTAACTCCTCCTCCAAGCTGTCGGTAACTCCTCCTCTAAGCGGTCGGTAACCCCTCCTCCAAGCTGTCAGTAACCCCTCCTCCAAGCTGTCAGTAACAAACACACTGATGGGTTGGAACTTGGCTCAGCCAGTACAGTAGTCTGACTCATGCCTACCAACCACTGCTGTAAAGATGACGGCGACACCAGAAACGGGTTTGTTTATACCTTGTTTATGCATCTTTATTTGAAGCTCTGTATCTGTTAAAAAGGCATTACTACATTAAGGGGGGCCATGCTGTTATGGTTTATGTCCTAGAACCAGACATATTCATATAGTTGGCTCTCTCTTGCCATATTTTCTGGTTAGAGTGACTGTTGAGATGGTATCTTGTAATGCGGAAAATAGTCTCATGCTGATGGAAACAAGTGTGCTTATTGTTGCAATAATAATCATGCCGTTTATTAACCATTGGCATTCAAAACCACATGTAACAGCTAGGGAATCCTAAGTTGGACTGTAACTGTACAGGTCATTTAAATATATGTATTTTCTCAGTATTTGGGCGTCGACATAATGTACATCACTATGGCATATGGCAACACAAGTGTAGATTCCATGGTCTCCTTATCACACATCCACACCCTGACACTCTACAGAAGTAACATATAAGGTTCCATGTAAGAGCACATGGATGTGGAGGAGTTGGTGTGGCTCAGTGGTAGAGTGCATGCTGTGTATGTATGATGTCCTGAGGTCAAACCCCAGGTCGCCGTGGCAATTGAGAATTTGTTCTCAATCGGCCTTTGTTCTCAAATTATTTATCCCTTAAATAGATAAATATATTTCCCGTTATATGTCCTGATCTTCAGGGGACAATCATGATTTCTTTGAGATGACTAAGCAACCTGATCCGTCTCTCTGTTTCTTTCGTTTTCTCCATTGTGGTCTGTCAGTTTTGGCGTGTGTCTCTCGGTATTCGTGTTAACCATACCAACCTAGACATCCTTGAAAACAGGAGCTTGCACAAGACTAGAGCCTGCACCATGCCGTTGCTTTTTAATTCATCTATAGCAGGAGATTTAACCAATTTACTAATTAGGATCAGCTTTGTGCTATTATGGCACCTTCAGTATCTGCCAGGTCTCTATGTTGACGGCATTTGTGTCCCCATATTTGCATCCCCATGCAATTTGGCAACCTTTTGGGACGAATAAATTGATTAAAGTGGAGGGAACGTTGAATACCATACGTCTTTTGTTTGGAATAGCAAACAAACATATTAGAAAATTATTTGTGTTCCTTTGAGATGGGACTGGAAGTGGATCGATCAGGCGCCCTATTGTAATCGCAGGTTCATGCAAAGACAGACAAGCATAGAGAGAAAGTGCCCTGGAAGACTGTGCTGGGAGGCTGCCGTAATGAGAACTGTAGCAAGGTTTTAGCAAGGTTAAGCTCGTTTTCATTCTGTAGTGCTAAAACTAGAAAGGCTATTTTTACTTCGGTGTTGGCTCTGATGACTAGGCCTACATCGGTTGTTTGTCTGTCGATAACCATAGAAACAGACAGACACCTTTCCACCCTAGTAATGTAAATCTTTGTGTACTGCCGTTGTCATAGCTGACGATGGTTTAGGCCCTTTTCCATTTCATCTCTGTCCTCTGAATTTGCGTGTCACTCACACAGACCCACAACTTGCTTTGGCTTCCTGTCTTGTCTCTGAACACACACCACATCCTCTCACAGCTCGCCCTTTACTTCTCCTAGGAGCATCTCTACATTTATAGTTTTTGTTGAAGTTCATTCCTAGAACGCCACATGGGCAGAGGCTTAGACCCTTAAAACTGGTCTAAGGTCAGTGTTGACGTCATCCCTCGGAAGCCAGGATCACAGGCTTTACCCCATTTGGTTACTTAATCAATTTCTTCTGACTCTGTGACGCCTGTGTAGTATTCAGGCACATAATTCAATCTTCTAGCAAGCACATTTCTGAGACATTATTTTATCGAACATTGTCTGAGGGGAAGGTAAACCACTACATGTACAGAGTGAGAGAAGCACGATGTGCTGTAGAGTGACTGGGTTAGGATCACAACGGAGGGCATCTGTCTACCTGAAGTGTATGAACGCTGCCTTCTAGTGGTCATCTCCCCTTTTTACAGGAAAAGAACATCATAGTCATTACTTTAATCTGGGCACTTATTTTAAACTGCGTTAAGCTGCGACTGTCATGTGGTACAGCACCTGTATGGTATTGACACCCCCCTCTGCCTGTCTGTGTCTCTCTCAGAGGTGTCTCGACGTAGTCAGAGATTAGTCTTAGGGGGGTACTACAACCAGTCCTCCGAAGAGGAAGAGTCCTCCCTGGTTTCCTACAGGGAAAATCCTGTAAGGTGCGTATCTGCCGTTCAGTGTGCCTGACACCCTTACGCTAACACAATGACAAACTGCCTCTTCTCCATCGCCTCTGTATTTCTTATGAGTCTTTTCTGATCTCGTTCCTAGGGTTTTCTCCAAAAGAAAGAAGGCAGGCCGTAAAGGGGCCTCTTCCCGGCGCTCCAGCCGAGCCAACAGTGTTTCCAGCACATCGAGCCTATCTAGCAGCAAGGCCAGCACGATGGATCCGCCCATTAGTCCGCCAGCCTACAGCGGTACGATTTTCAAACCCCGGTCCGCGGTACGGATGGGGAAGTTATTCCGATATTCACGTTTTCAAAAGTTAGTATTGGAATACGTGTGTGTTCTGTTTGCTAAGAAATTAAACATCCAGCAATCTGATTTGTATGTACCGCGATATGATATGGTAATTCTTTCACACAATGCTTGGTGGCTTAGCTTTGGCACACAGTGCTGAGAAATGTATTTCACTGATGTTTTTATAAACTTTCCAAAATACCACTCTGACAAAGTTCAGTGACTACAAACCATAGGTCTCCATCCTAAATATATTTTGTCTCACCTGATTTGGCTTATTTCTGTGTGTTTCGGTATGTTTATTGATACTTTGCCAGTATCAGAGTAAGGCCAAATTTAGAAGTTGGGACTGATGTCCCCAGTGTATACAAAAATAGAGAATGAAATTCCATACATAGTTTGCTACTTCTTCGCACAATAAGGTTTGGGGAAGTCTGCTGGGGTGTCCTGGATAGCTGCTCTTTGTTTTCAGGTAGCCTTAGTGTCTGTACATTAGTTAGCTAATATGGCTCCTGAAAACAGTGTCTTCGTCCCTTTAGGTTTTTCACACTTGATACACAGGAAGACGTGCCATGACACTCCCCGACCTGCCCCCACTCCGGCCCCCGGCCTAAACCCAAGTACTAACTCCTGGAGCTTCTCCACAAGCCAGGCCAGCCATGCCCCGAGACCGATCACTGCTGTGGACAGCTCCGGCTACTCTTCCTCAGAGGCGAGGAATTACAAAGGGAATCCTGCACACTCGCCGTCAGATGGACAACGGGTTAGCGCAAACCACAGCTCCGGGGTCGGTGTAAGAGGCATATTTGCCAGCACTCTGAGTGAGTAGCACCCGGGCTTGTGCGCGTGTGTCATTAGCCCGTTTTATCCGCTCTGCCTGTTTTTTAGCGTTGACTTTTCTCAGTTAGCTTGTCTGTCTGCATGGTTTGTTGGCATTAGCTTGTCTATCTGCAAGTAGATGGTTCGTTAGCATCAGCTTTAACTCTGTCTCATCCTGTAGCCCGTCCGTTTAAACCGGCTGCTGTGGCGAAAGCTATTGTCGCGGCTCTCCTACTCATCTTTTTTATTTACGGTGAGTGACATCACATATCAGGTCTGTGGTACAAAAGCCTGAATGAACCAACAACTGTGCGGTTATTTTGTTAGTTCTAATGGAAAATGAACAACGAATGTAATGCCTTACTTTAACATTTACTGGGAATTTAGTCCCTGAGAGAAAGTAGGGAATGGCACTGCCAGAAGTACAACACATTATTGTTTCCGAGCAAAAATGTTGACTGGCAATTTTTTTTTTCTATTGGTGTGTTTCTGTGGTCTGTTAAACCTGTCCTGTAATGTGCTGGAGTATTTCCGTCTGTTCACCTTCTCTCCACTAGTCTGCTGCCTGCTTGTTTCCCTGGTATGGCCCACGCCGACTGGATCCAAGATCCTCAACCAACCGAGCATCTCCTCAAATTTACCACCTGCCTTCACTCCTCCTTCCAAGGCTATGGTACGATCTGATAGGACCACGCACCTGTCAATTTCCTCTCAATATATTCATATTTGGTGGTAGGATTCTGTACAATTGTGAAGTACTGGATTGTAGAATAAAGGGTTTTTTATGCTTTGAAACTTTTTACGCAGGACAAAGATTCTGTGTCCGATGCTGTGCTGGTGGCCAAGATAAAAAACGTCCTGGTAAGAGAGACAGCCAGTGAATAGACAAACTGTCCTGTATTTGGGTCAACAGACATGTGTGATTGTGGCTTGTTTGTTTTCTTACAGAGTGAAGAAATATTGGAGAAACAAGCCCAGCAACAGGAATTTGTAACCAAGATAAATACGGTACCAGAGAAACTAGATTTAGATAATGATAATGGTATCGACAAATAGAAGAAACATTTCCCATCTAAACCAGAACCTGCCCATGTCAACCATGGAGTGAAAGGCTATAGTGTGATGTAACATAGCAGGCATGAAATAAAAGCCTGAGCTGGGCTTACAGAAATATCCGGCATATACGCGTCACGTGTGCGTCCGTAAAAAAACTTGTAGTATTTACTGTGTCAGCACTGTACACAGTTTTGAGATGTCGCCTTTGTGTTGGTTTATTCCAACAGATCGTTGAAAGGCTACAGATCGAATTAAGAGATGTGAGGTCAGATGTGACAATGAGACTGGACAGGTGAGTGTGCGGCCCGTCTCTTCCAGGAAATACACCTGCTGCTCCATTGCTTTTAAGACGCTGGAGAAGATTTGAAAGGATGGAAAGCATTGGTCAATCGGACAGTTCGATAAAAATATTTTGTGTGCGAGCGCTGGCCCCTTTTATTGAAAAATCTATTCTATTAATGGCTCCTATGCACTGAAGTAACTATGATTCAACACGGTGGTTGTCGAAGTTGCATTATGTACATTTAATGGCTATAACATATTTAATGTTTTTTTATTTAGAGAGCATCCATTGTATTCAGACCATCGTATAAGTGAGATGGAAGCTGCATACACCAAACAGCTTGACGAGTTCAATCACCGTTACACAAACATCGGGCAGAGAATGACAGCCCTGGAGGAGCAGATGGCCAAGTGGCTGCGGGTCGTGAACCAGGTGTCAAGGTCCTCTCCGCCGGCAGACCGTATGCCAAACTTTGCCCTGGAGTCCCAAGGCGCCAGCCTGGTGAGCACGCGGTGTTCCGAGACGTACCGGAGCCGCTCGGCGTGCGTCAGCTTCCTGGGTGTACCCCTGTGGTACCCCTCGGAGAGCCCCCGCATCGTCATCCAGGGGAACCCGCCGCAGGCTGGAAGGTGCTGGCCGTTTCACGGGGCTCAAGGCACCCTGGTCATAGCCCTCTCTCACCCCGCCCGCATCACCCACGTCACCCTGGAACACCTGCCTGTCGTCAACGCCCCGTCTGGGCGCATCGACAGCGCCCCAAAGGACTTTTCTGTCCACGTGAGTCGCCCCTTAATGCACTATTACCCCATTCTTACTCTTGACACGATATAGTACCGTGTTGTCCGCTGTGGTTCCTGGGTCCCTGAGCACCTAAACACTGACACCTGATTCAACCTTGCACTCACGCCTCCATTTTTATGGAT